TGCAGATCATTGAACACGATCTCTCTCATTCTACTGAAGCTGCCATTGAGATTGATGCTCTAGTGAACGGAGAAGATTTCGAATCATCTTTAACACGAGATCAGTTCAATGAAATCAATTCTGATCTGTTCAAACGCTGCCTTCAACCGGTCGACCGTGCCCTAGCCGACGCCCACCTGACCCCTGCTGGTATTGATGAAGTGGTTCTGATTGGTGGGTCTACTCGAATCCCTAAAATACAAGAACTTTTGGCGGATAAATTCCCGGGAAAACCACTCAGTAAGCGGATCAATCCTGATGAGGCAGTAGCTATGGGGGCGGCTATTCAAGGAGCTAATCTATCTCAGAGTATTGAAGAGAAGAACTCTCGTCTCTCCGGCATCACCCTAATGGACGTAGCTCCAATGAGCCTGGGTATTGAACTGGCCAGTGGGAAGATGAGTACTTTAATTCAGCGAAATACCACAATACCTTACTCTCACTCAAGGACCTATAAGAATAATGAAGACTATCAGACCGAGGCGACCATTGAAGTGTTTGAAGGAGAAGAGAAGACGGCTAAGAAGAACAGGCTACTGGGTCGGTTTATAGTACCTGGACTACCACCCAGACCAAGGGGACAGGTTGAAATACCTGTTGCCTTCTCTCTTGACGTTAACGGGGTCCTTGAGGTGAGCGCTTACGTGAAAGGGGAACAAGGAACCAAGAAGAGTTTAGTGATAAAGAAAGACAAAGGTCTCCTAACTGAGGAGGAGATTAAGAAGAGAGGGAAGGAGTTACAGGACTGGGAGAGAAAGTGTCGTACTAATAAAATTAACTAATAAATGACAAATAATTATTGCTTTCTATTATAATCGTTTAAATGTTTTAATAATTATTACTGAGTGCTATATATAGTATAATTAATAACAACAATAATGACAATAAAACTGAATTCAATGTAATAAAGAGAGACAGATACTGATTAACATACAGAACAAATACATCATTGTATTTAGAAATGATGATGATTATTATTAGTTTGTGATTCAATGTGGTATCTCTTGAAATTTAGCCCAAACATTGTCAACAAAATCTAACAAAACAGACAAAATTCACAAACAGTATTTAATTCTCTCCCCACTAGCTAAGTGAGGTTTCCCTCCCTCACCTTTATAACTGATCTGATTATCGTTATCAATCTTACAAGTGTCTCTGATAAGTTTCTCTACTACATGAAACAAGGAGACATTAATCTCTCATTCTCTCTCTTATCTCACGCTCTTCTTCTTGAAACCCCAGCTGTGCTTGTAACAGAAACCTCTTCAGCTGTTGTACTGGTATACTCCCATGCCCCTCCTGATCAAACACAGCAAATGCTCTCAGTACGTCAGTATGGCTGGGCCACTCTCTGCTCTCATGAGTGGAGGTTAACTGATCACAAGTCTCATCTATTATCGACTGGAGGTAACTCTTGTCCAGTTCATTACGTTCTATTATTAGTAACAATTAGTTTCTAATGATGTCATTACTTTTTATTGCTTCTTCTATTTTTAGACCACCCAAACCAATCGACCTTATAAGGATAAATAGATAAATTTAGAAACTAAACTAATTCAATTAAAGTATTCACTTGAGGAATAATGGAAGGTTCTCTTTGATTATGTACTGTCCTCCATTACTGAATACTTCAAATGCCTCATCAAACTCTACAGAGAAAGACCAAGAGAATTATCATTTGATAATGGATTGATCCTTTCTTCTCTTCATTTCTCTTATTGTTACCTTTCTTGTCAATACGAGGCAGTTCATCAAGAGC